CCCGCCGCTCCGCCCGCCGCGCACCTCCGCTCGCCGCTCGCCCAGCTCCAGCCGCCGCCGCACGGTGAGTGCCCGCGACCCGCAGCCCCTCGTCCCCGCGCCCTGCCGCTCCGGCGTTTTTTTCGTTTAGTTGTAACGTGGACTCTTGTGGCTGTTGTTTTTATCGTACCTAACGACTCCGCCGCCGGGCTCTCACCGCTGCCCGCCTCCCTCCCGTTTTCCTTCCCCAAGCTCGGCCCTGAGGTACCCGGAGCCGAAGAGGGATTCTCGAGCTGCCCTGGCCGCTGCTCCCTGTCACTGAGCACAACCCTTAGTCGGTGCTTTCTGCTTTGGCCCCTCGAAATGCTATTGCTTTCCTAGGGCCCCCTTCTTCTGGCTCCAAGGCCCGGAGTTCCCTTATTTTACTCGGGAAAACCCCGCGGGGACTAGGACCCTCAGCGCTAGGTTCGGGTTGCACTCTTCACTGGATGCGGGCCGGGCACACTCACGGGTTTCGGGAAACCGAGCAGTCAGAGTCATTTCCCAGAGCCGGGCGCCCCCAGCCACCTACGCAGCCTTCCTGAGAGCCCTCCCCGGGGGGCCCTGGGCTCGTCTTGTTGACTCCTCAGACATGGACTTGGGGCCCGTGGTTTTGCCTAGTAAAATATTACCACTGGCTTAAATGACAAGGGAGGGTCAACTTGTTTCAGGTTGATTCTAAGAGATAAAGATGAAACAGATAAGAGATAAGTAGCTTGGTACCTGAAGGTACAAGACAGATGGGAGAAACAGGAGCGAATTGGAAGAGACAGCTCAGGAACAGATAAAATCGACAAATAGAGAGCCCTAAATAAATGGGGAAGGGGAGAGGGGCAGGTAGAAGATTCCTTCACCCAAGGCTTTTGAACTTAGACTCCCCTGTGTGGTTGAAGTTGCCCTTCTGGAAATGGATTTGCCTTTCTGGCCGAGTTTAAGGGAGAGATCCTCCGGGTTGGGCTGCCCGAGCTGTAAAAGCACCTGCAGTCCTGGGCCAGGTGGGAGCCTTGTGTGTCTAAAACACGTGGCTCAGGCGAGCGACCTAAAAGACCCTAAACATCAATTCGTAGGTCCCGCTCCACTTGGCTGCTGAGGTCTTCGGGTACAACTGTCTCCATCTGGGCCAGAGAACATAGCACGGGATCACAGGAACTTTTGCGTGGAGCCTTGTGGTGGCTCCGAAGACCCACCAGGACTGATTGCTTCAGGCCCACATGAGTCAGGACAGATGGGAATGAAGAACCCTCAGAGAAGAAACACTCCCAAACTAGAAGTTCAGAGCCCTCAATGACTGCGTTTGACCTGATAGGAAAAGCACATTGTGAAGGAGGAAAGCTCAGAGAGTGAGTGGGCCATCAGAAGTGGAGAAGTAGTTTCTGAGAAACTTCTTTGAGAACCACTCTGTCCCATGCACTGACCCAAATGGAAGCCAGCTTTGGCTTGGAACGCAGCTAAAAGTGCTGAAAATGTGGCTAGACACTGCTCAACCGCTGTCCTACTGATGGCTGGAAAGAAAACAGCTTCTATATCTAGCCGGAATCTTTCTGCTCAACGAACGTGGGGCACCAGGCGTGAGAAGAGAAACTCGGGTTGGTGGAAACCTGTCCGGTGGTCCCCGGAAGCCGGTCAGCACGGAGCTGGGCGCAGCAGGGGCCACTCTGGGTCTGGAAGCTCAAGGAGTGCTTTGGAGAGGGTAGGGTTCAGCACCGCGAACAGCGGTCACTTCCGCCTCTGCCCCTCCCAGCATCCCCAGGTCCCTCCTCCATCTCCCTGCCCTCTCCTAGGCCCCCACCAGTCTGAAGGTGGGCAGTGACTGTCCCTCCCTACCCTCCCACGCTGCCCCCGCCCGCCCTAGTACAAGCGCTACTAAGCAGAAGGGCCACCCGTCCCCTAAGTCTGGGCTTCAGGACCCGGGATGGCAGGGCAGGCTGCTAGGATGGCTAAAAGAGCGTGGATCTGAGTGCTAGAAAGCCTGGATCTAATGGCATTGCTGTGTGGCCTTGGGCAAGTCACTCTCCGTCTCTGGGTCCCACTTCCTTCCCAATCCAAAAATGGGATTGGATTCCGTGCAGCTGGGGCATTCCTGGGATCTCCACTACTCCCCTCTCCTAACTCAAACCCCGGGAGCTTTTGTTCTGGTGCTGACATCGGTCTGAATAACAAAAGACCCCCATTGCGGGGGGGCCAAAGAGCTTGGACACCCCACTGCCAAGTATACCCCCAAGCGCCTGGCTCGGGACACCCCACTGGGCGGCCCAGCCAAGGCGGCTGCTCTGGAAATGGCTCATCTGCTGTCTGCTTTCTCTATTTCGCAGGAGCGGTGGCATGGAGGGTCTCACCACTCAGCTGGGGCCAGGTCGTGAGGGCAGCTCCTCGCCCAACTCCAAACAAGAGCTGCAGCCCTATTCGGGTTCCAGCGCCCTCAAACCGAACCAGGTGGGCGAGACATCGCTGTACGGGGTCCCTATCGTGTCGCTGGTCATCGACGGCCAGGAGCGCCTGTGCCTGGCTCAGATCTCCAACACCCTCCTCAAAAACTACAGCTACAATGAGATTCACAACCGCCGCGTGGCCCTGGGCATCACGTGCGTGCAGTGCACGCCGGTGCAGCTGGAGATCCTGCGCCGGGCCGGGGCTATGCCCATCTCATCCCGCCGCTGCGGCATGATCACCAAGCGCGAGGCCGAACGGTTGTGCAAGTCTTTCCTAGGCGAGCACAAGCCACCCAAGCTGCCTGAGAACTTCGCTTTTGATGTGGTACACGAGTGTGCCTGGGGCTCACGGGGCAGCTTCATCCCCGCGCGGTACAATAGCTCCCGGGCCAAGTGCATCAAGTGCGGGTACTGCAGCATGTACTTCTCACCCAACAAGTTCATCTTCCACTCGCACCGCACTCCCGACGCCAAGTACACCCAGCCAGATGCCGCCAACTTCAACTCCTGGCGCCGGCACCTCAAACTCAGCGACAAGTCGGCCACGGACGAGCTGAGCCACGCTTGGGAGGACGTCAAGGCCATGTTTAACGGTGGCACGCGCAAGCGGACCTTCTCGCTGCAAGGAGGCGGCGGCGGAGGCGCTAACGGCGGGTCAGGAGGGCAGGGCAAGGGTAATGCCGGGGGCAGCGGCGGCCCAGGATGCGGTGCCGAGATGGCCCCCGGCCCACCGCCCCACAAAAGCCTGCGCTGCGGAGAAGACGAGGCCGCCGGGCCTCCGGGTCCACCTCCTCCCCACCCGCCGCGCGGACTGGGGCTGGCGCCAGGAGCCAGCGGCCCAGCGGGCCCAGGCGGTCCTGGAGGCGGTGCGGGCGTTCGTAGCTACCCGGTAATCCCAGTGCCCAGCAAAGGGTTCGGTCTCCTGCAAAAGCTCCCCCCACCACTCTTTCCGCATCCTTACAGTTTCCCCACGGCCTTCGGCCTATGCCCCAAAAAGGACGACCCAGTGTTGGGCACGGGTGAGCCCAAGAGCGGCCCTGGTGCAGGGAGCGGCAGCGGGGCCGCGGGCACTGGAGCGAGTGGCCCGGGAGCAGGCCACTTGCCCCCGGGAGCAGGGGCGGGCCCGGGCGGCGGCGCCATGTTCTGGGGACATCAACCCTCCGGGGCAGCCAAGGACGCAGCGGCAGTGGCTGCAGCGGCAGCAGCCGCCACCGTGTACCCGACGTTCCCCATGTTCTGGCCAACCGCAGGCAGCCTCCCTGTGCCACCTTACCCGGCCGCACAGAGCCAGGCCAAGGCGGTGGCGGCTGCAGTAGCAGCAGCGGCAGCGGCAGCGGCCGCGGCTGCTGGCGGTGGCGGCCCAGAGCCCCTGGATGGCGCCGAACCAGCCAAAGAGGGCGGCCTTGGTGCGGAGGAGCGCTGCCCGAGCGCGCTGTCCCGCGGGCCTCTGGACGACGACGGCGCGGACGAGGCGCTCCCGCCACCCTTGGCGCCCCTGCAGCCCCCGCCGCCTCCGCCGGCGCGCAAAGGCTCCTATGTGTCCGCCTTCAGACCGGTGGTCAAGGACGCCGAGAGCATCGCCAAGCTCTACGGCAGCGCCCGCGAGGCCTATGGCGCAGGGCCTGCGCCTCCCCCTCGTGCGCCGGGGCACGGCCCGGGGACTGGCGGCGGCTACGTGAGCCCGGACTTTCTGAGCGAGGGCAGCTCCAGCTACCATTCTGCCTCGCCCGACGTGGACACCGCGGACGAGCCCGAGGTGGACGTGGAGTCCAACCGCTTCCCGGACGAGGAGGGCGCCCAGGACGACGCCGAGCCCAGTGCACCCAGGGCGCCCAGCGCGGGAGGCGGTCCCGACTGTGACCCGGCTGGCGGGCCCGCGTCCGCCACCTCTTCGGGCGCCGACGGTCCCACAGACTCTCCAGACGACGGTAGCCCCCGCCCACGGCGTCGCCTCGGGCCACCCCCAGGTCGGTCGCCGTTTGGGGACTTGGCAGCAGACGATGTGGTGCGGAGACCTGAGAGGAGTCCGCCGAACGGCGGCTACGAGCTGCGAGAGCCTTGCGGGCCCCCGGGAGGCCCCGCGACGGCCAAGGTGAGCCCCGGGCCCTGCCCGCTGAGGGCGCCTCCTTGCTGCCCCCTCCGCACGACCTGAGTGCAGGGCGGGCCAGGTGCGGGTGGAGACGGGGATTTTGTTCTGCGCAGGCCTTGGAGCGGGTGCCTGGCTGTTCTCGCAGACCCAGTCGCGGGCGCCCTGGAGCGGGACTCGCCGAGTCCCAGAAATGTAGGTTTCCAAGAATGGAGGCGCGGTGGGGATGGGGTGGGTCGCAGGCCTTCAGAACCCGCGTGCATTGTTTTCGTTGATGGGAGTGATGAGATCGGCAGAAACTGCCAAACGTCCAGAGATGCTAAAGGGGTCTGGAGGGAGATAGAGGGGGAGACCTGCCCCCCGCCCCGCGCGCACCTATCCAGAAGGGGATCAGAACCTCAGGGAAGACCAGTGGGCAGGGCGGAGAGGAGGTAGCCTCTCCCCCAAGTTGCTCAGCAATACCAGGTCCCCCGAACCTCTCTCTCCCAGCCTAACTAGCAGCTTCAAATTCTGGCCTTGGGAACCGCAGGGCTGTGGGCTGGGAAGCCTTGTGTGGGGCGAGGGGGCTCTCGGGTTGGCGGGGCTGGAGCTGAAGGAGCGGGCTGCGACTAGGCGGGGATCCATGGCCGTTTTCAAAGTAGGTGCGCACACCTGTACTTTTCCATTCGGCTCATTAAGACACGAGTCATTAACCGGATGTGAAAGGCGTCATTTATGCCGCGGACTGGGCACTGGCGTGGGCGGGAAGGAAAATGTCCAAAATGGGGCGAGCACAGAAAGTGGGGGCGGCTTCGAACGGCCCAGGAAGCCTCTTTGTGTTTGGAGTCATTTGCTCGCGGGCGCCCATAATTACCCTGCACCTACAACGGTGGCGGGAACGCCGTAGCGGGCCGTGTGCGTCTCCGCAGCCCGGGGTCTGGGTGCCGCACGCGCTAGCCAAGTCCGCACCCCTCGGGGCTTCCTTTCGGCCGCGGGGGGGCGGGGCGGGGCAGCCACCTAGCGTCCCACTAATAGCCTGTCATTTCTCTGCCGCGGTAGGTGTACGCGCCCGAGAGGGACGAGCACGTGAAGAGCGCGGCGGCGGCGACGTTGGGGCCCGCGGCCTCCTTCCTCTGCGCCCACGATGCCCACGGTAACGCAACCGAGGCCGCGGACCACAGTCCTGGGGGCGCTGCGGGCAGAGGGCCGGGCGGGGCAAGGCCCGAGAGGGCAGAGAAGCGCAGAGAGACTGAAGGGAGAGAAAGGGAGAGGGAAAGAAAAATGATGAAAGAAAAAGGAGCAAAGCCACAAATCCCAACTCCCCTGATTTGGTTACCTGGAACCAATACCCAGCTGCCCCCACCATAGAACAGACACCTCCTCCAGCCTTTTAAAAAGCCCTGTGGGCCGCTCCTCCCCGTCCTCTCATTTATTCAGCAAGTGTGTTCGGCCCGGGGTCCTCGTGGCCTGGCCTGGCCTGGCTTGCCCACGAAGGCGCCTGGTTGCGCACTCGGGACCCAGCAGCGGCGGGATAGCTGGGGGGGGGCTGGTGCACTCCTGGGACCACGTTGCTAGCAGAGGAGGGCCCTGGCCTCGGATATCAGGCCTGGCGGAAGCGGCCGAGCCCGGGCTGGACAATGCGCCTCCAACACCAACTCCACCCAGAAGGTCGCCGCCTGGCCTGTGGTCTCCGCGGGAGATTCCCGGACAGACCCGGCGGCCACGAGCGCTCGCGGTGGCCCAGTATCTGCGCGCGATGTAGGTCGCTTGTCCCTGGTGGACTCCGCGGCTCGTCTCACTCTTTTCCAAGGGGTTGGGGAGGGGGCGTGAAGCCGGGAGGAAGAGCAGGCAGGCCCCGTCGCGCGAGGGGGAGGGGTGCCCGGCCTTGAGCCTCAGGGCGCGAGCCTGGGCGCGCAGCCGGGAACCTGAGGCGGCCACGACGTTTTTAATTAGGACTTGAGCGCCCCAACCGCGGCGGCTCTGGCAGTATCGGGGTCGCGGTTTCTTTGCCTGTCCTTGAAACTCGATTTATTGCCTTTAAAGAGCCAGATAAAGAAGACAATCACTCGACCGCCGATGATTTGGAAACGAGGAAATCCTACTCAGACCAAAGGAGCATCTCCCAGCCAAGCCCCGCGAACACAGACCGAGGTGAGCCCGCGGATTCCTCGCGCCCCGCCCGCGGCTGGAAGCTGGCACCCAGGTTGCCCAGGTTGCCCAGGTTGCCCAGGTTTCAAGGGCCCGCGAGCAAGACTTTGTGTCCTGAGCCAGCGGTTCCTGGGTCTTCCCTTCCTCTGCGGGCACATAACTCTTTAGTATAGGGAGGGGACATTCTGACTGGAGCTGCTGAGTCGTTGGTGACTTGGGGCTCTTCTGGGTAAGGGTGGAGGGTATAAGGAAAGGAAATGGAGGGACAGCTTCCTAAAATAGGCCACAGGCACTTCCTTCCCAAGGACAACCTATCTGGCCTGGGCCCACTCTCCTACTCTCAAACATAGCTTGGGTGGTGGGGCTCTGGATGGATGCCTGTAGCCATCTCCTCCAAGGGCAGGCAGAGGGTCTAGATTGGACCCCTCGCTTGGCACAGCTCCCAGGAAGTTCACTCCTCTTCTCTCGAGGAGGTCTTTCAGGGTACAGAACCCCTCTCACCTGTCCTTGCATCCCAGGGGAAGACGGGATCACCTTGGATGTCACAGGAACTCAACTGGTGGAGAAAGATATTGAAAACCTGGCCAGAGGTGAGGTTAATTCTGTGAAATGGAGATGCTATGCTGGAGGGAGGTGGACACTGCCTGAGGAGGAGATATAGTTCCTACAGGTTTGTGGGAAGGCCATGGCAATTGGAGGGGGGGGGATCAGTTTTTATTTCCCCTGGAAGAACGTTAACCCTCTGTGCACATTCTGGCACAGAGCTATAAGTGTGGTTAGTGGATGGGGAGAGTAAACCAAGTCCCTGGAGGTTTATTGAAAGTATGCGCTTTAAGGCCTGAGTCTGTGTCGGACAGGGCTAGCAAGACGGAGAGAGGAATGCTTCTCAGAGCTTGATGCTGTGGCCAATCAGGCAGGGCAATCTGGGGTTTCTCCCAGTTCCCTGGAAGACAGAATTATTTTGGAAGGACATGCTGGCTAGGAGGCATTGCGTTAGGATCAAGAGAGAGGTTCCAGGGTGCTCCCTCCTGGAATTGGCCTGTAAGCACAGTGAGGACGAAGCTTCTTTGCAGAAAGGGCTACCCAAGGTTGTTGCTCAGCCTGCAAGAGGGAGGAGGTGACTTGAAGCACAGAGAAAGGGGAGTCTTGGGATCCTTTTGGCCTCTCCACAGTCCTGTGTTTCAGGGCAGCCTTCCTTGGGGAGGCTCCAAACACTGACAGCCACGTGGTTGGGGCATCTTCTGGAGCCAGACCCCTCTGTAACTGGTTTCTGAGGGTTCTGGACAGAGCTGGTCACACACCCAGCCCATGGGCAGTCTTGGAGTTGGAGGGAGAAGGGAAACAAGCGTAGGTGGCTTTCTATGGTCTTTTACAGATTTTACAGGATATGCCATTACTCACAAAGTCACTGTTGTTTGTTTTATGGTACTGGGGATTGAACATAAGGCCTTGTGCATGCTAGGCCAGCACTCATTCACCACACCCCTCAGCCCTCATTTATGTTTTAGATGAGGGTTCTTAGCATGGATTTGGGGGGGGGCTGTAAATTTCCTGAAATTGTAGGCAGTGTTAAGTATGTGTATTTCTCTGGGAAGGTGATTCAAAGCTTTGACCAAATTCTCCCTGATTTGTGTCAAGATTAGGATTAATTAGGCCTGACACTTGACAAGGGAAATCACATTCTTATGTGTCATCTATCCTCTAAGCTTAGGGAGTTAGAAACAGTTCAGAATAGTTTAGCATGTAACTGAGCTGGTTAATTCCCGGGAACCAGGGCCCAGAAATCCAAAATAGGCTCCATCCTTCTGAATTTGGTTCTCCTGGGTATCCTACCCCTAGCCTTGTGTCTTTGATCAAATCCTTTGAATGCAAATGGAAAATCGGAGTACTGAAGGCCACAACCCCAACTTGGGTCACAGCACCTCACTCCCTAGTGAGTCCCTAGAATTCCCCAGCCTACCCCCTCCTGACATCCGACTCTCTCCTCTTCACAGAGGAGTTGCAAAAATTGCTCCTGGAGCAAATGGATCTCCGCAAGAAGCTGGAGAGAGAATTTCAGAGTCTCAAAGGTACTTCCATCCCTCCCCAGCCCACTGCAATGGTGTTGCCCAGACCAGTTCTGGGACCTGGGTGCAGGCAGCTGCCATCCTGGGCCTTGTGAGATCAACCCACCCCCCCCCACACACACACACTTTCCTGAGTTTCCAGCTAGGCGAATGACTTGCGGGGAGGTAGGGGGGAGGCCAGGAGGGAGGCGGAAGTGAAGCTGGGAGAGGAGGCTGTGCGTAACAGCTCTCACTTAATCAATTTGCACAGATAATTTTCAGGATCAAATGAAGAGGGAATTGGCTTATCGAGAAGAAATGGTGCAACAGCTGCAAATTGTCAGAGGTAAGACGGGAGTCAGGTGAGCGCACGCACGGCCCTAACTGCCTCTCGTCTGGCAGGAGCCGCAATGTTGGCTCAGTCATTTGGATTTAAATTGAAGGTAATTTAACAATTATTTTTTTATTTAATATCCTTTGTATACTCTGATTAGCCTCAGAATGGCAAGCGAGCCCAGCAAACGGCTTGCAGGCATCATTACATGGAGTGATTGAACTTCTTATCGCGGCAATTTCCATGGTTTCTAAATTAAAAATCGAGGCGTAAAATTACCTGGGAAGTAATGCCTAAGTTTGCTTTAATTTTGGTTAGATCCGTCTGCCTTAAAGCGCCATCCCAGGCCATTTCCTCCCTGTGCCAGCCTGCATTTGAGAGCGCAGGTACCCCCGCCCCTTCGTTACCCAGGAGTTTCTTCGAGGGGCTGCAAGAGGGGGGTAGGATGTGGCCTGGGCTGTGACCCTGCTGGCCCACCCAAGGGTGCTCTGGGCCCCCTCACTCACCTCCTGGCCTTGTCTTCCAGACACCCTCTGTAACGAACTGGACCAGGAGCGGAAGGCACGCTATGCCATCCAGCAGAAATTAAAAGGTGCAGAACTGAAAAACAAAGCTAGAAGGGGGTGCCAGGGACTAGCTGGGCCCAAACAAGTGAATGGATGGGTGGTTGGGTGGATCAGTTGGGGGGTTGGGAGAGAAGAAGCCAGGGTTGCTGGGGTCAAAGACCCAGAAGAGGGAGGTGGGGCTTGACAGCAGTGGGGGGCTTATTCTAGACCGACTGGGGGGACAGAAAGGAACATCATTTTGAACTCTGGGCATCCAAACATTCTGCCTTCAGAGCCATCTGGCCATGAACAGCTCAACCCTTTCTCCAATCCTCAGTTTCCTCTGACATCAGATGGAGCTATAGAACCGGAGGGGTGGTTGTCAATCACCAGGTCTCTCTCGACCACCTTTCTGGCCCGCTGGGTTGAGAGTCCCCGAGCCCAAAGGGTTGCTGAGACCAAGGAGGGGGGCTGACAGGCGACTCTCTCCCCAGAAGCCCACGACGCCCTGCACCACTTCTCCTGCAAGATGCTGACGCCCCGCCACTGCACCGGCAACTGCTCCTTCAAGCCCCCACTGTTGCCCTAGGGCCGGCCCGGCCGCGCCCTCGCGCCCTCAAGCCATGCTGCTCCTTCTTGTAAATACCGGCCGCGATGCCCGGGCGGAGCGAGGAACAAGCCATTCAGACCGACCGATGTAAATACAGCCCGCCCGCAGCTCACCCGCCGCCCGCGCCTCCCGGGCTCCCCGGCCTTGCCGCCCGTTCCTGGGCCTGGCTCTGTTTTCCAGTGTAAATACCGCGTTGCCCTCGGTTAAACTTCAGGGCCTCGAAACTCAAGGGGTTAAGTGGACCCACGAGTGGGGGAGGGGGACAAAAAGGACTGCTCCCAGCTCCCACCCGCACCGGGTGGGCAGGCCGGGGTCCCAATTGTGAATACACTGTAGCGACTTCACTGGCTTTAGTCGGCTTGAAACTCCTGTTCCTGAGGACAAAGTGGCTATGTGCAATGGATGTAAATGTACTGGGTCTCTTGGTTCGGTGTTAGGTTCACGCGCATTTATTTGTGAGTCTAAGTTGATTTTCTTTCTTTTCCTGGCCCCACTTACCCTCCCGCTTCGTAATCCTTTTCTTGCTTTGTCTTTTTTGTTGTTGTTGTTGTTGTGACCTCTTGATGTAACCGGCACTTTAAAAGGGCGACAACTGACTCACGATGGCGACCACCTTGAGCCTGTCTGGGGGAGACCACCCTGTATCTGTGACTTTTGTTTTTAATAAAAGAAAAATCTGTCACTTTCTGGGGTTGTGGAGGTGGGAGTGCAGGGGATGGGAGAGGGCAGGCCAAGAGGGCAGGGTGCTGGGCCGCAGCTGGTGTGGGGGCCACCTCCTGTGTCTGGGTGAGAGCTGCACTCCACAGCTGGCAGCGTTTACTAACTACCGAGGCACACCCAGCCTTGCCCACGGGCCACACCCTCTGCGCACCAGGACCCTCCCTCGGGCCCTGGTTGGGGACAGGGGAAGGACTTGGTGGTCCACTCTACAACATCCCTTCCCTCAAGCTCTTGTAGGGCCCAGGGTTTGTTCATCCCAGTGTCCACAGGGCCTGCCCTAAATCCTGAGTTCCGCCCCCGTGGCTGGCACAGGCGCTGTTGTCCTGGTCCTGGAGCACTGGCACAGGGTGCAGGGCAAAGTATGGAGGGCAGGCCTGGGCTGACAGGCCTGGGAGGGGAAAACCTGAAGCTCACCCATGCCTGGCCTGCTGCTAAGAACAGAAGGGAGCCCAGGCCACAGCTGACTTGAGGAACTCAGGAAGTGAGGCACCCCAGGCTGCAGCACTGGCTGGGCCTCCGATGCCTGCATGTCCTAGCAAGCCTCTCCTGTTGGCCTCAGTTTCCAATGCACCTGCCCACTGGGCCACAGATAGTGGAAGTAAATTGCACAACACTGTATTTCTGGGTGGGGCCAAAGGATAGATAGATGTAGGAAAGAGCAAGGTATTGGGCATGGGGCTTAATTGTATTGGGTGTGGGGCTGAACTTGCCTGTCTGCTAATTGCATACCCTTGTGTGTGTGTGTGTGTGTGTGTGTGTGTGTGAGAGAGAGAGAGAGAGAGAGAGAGAGAGAGAGAGAGATACTACAAGTACGTGCGCTGGGAGGTAAACTGAGCCCAATCCACTGCACAACAGCGCTCTGATGGCTCCACTCAGGTACACCCCAAACTGGCTCTGCACATCCCTCGGGAAGGGACATGGCAGTGGACATGGGCCTCATCTCCCTGTGAGGAGCCTGGGGTGCACATCTGGGACATCAGGACTGGGTGGAGTGGGAGGAGGCAAGCAGGGGGCTGGGGGCTTGGGGCTGGAGCTGGTGGCACACTCTATCCTCTGGAAGGGGCGCAGCCCCCAGCCTTAGAAGCCAGTCCCCAACCTCCCTGAGCCTGGGCTGTGGGACCTCATCTCCCAAGGTACTTCCAGGGCTGATTCCAGTGAGGGCCTGAGGAAACTGGCGGAGAGGCATGTGGGCAAACGAAGCCAGGACTCCCCAGGAGGTCAGAATCCATCAGTGTACCACCAGATCAGTTCTCCATGGTACCCCAAAAGTGACATTCAGAGAGGAAGTGACTTGAGTCTCCGGGGTGCTCCAGGAGCGAGTGGCGATGGGCTCGGAGGATGCATTTGGTTTCTTTCCCCACAGCATAAATGCACCCCCGAAGCTCGACCTTCATTCTCTGCAAAATGGACGCAATGGGGACCACCCGGGCCGAAAGTTCCTTCCTTGGCTGAGGCCCAACAGAGGAGCTTAACCAAATACTCTTTTCGGCCCTCCTCCCCAAAATTCCCAAGTGGAGAAAGCACGACAGCTGGGACCCGCCGCAAGAGGCGCTCCATCTGGGCCGGAACCTCTGCGGATTGGGGAGTAGGCGGATGCGACCCTGCAAAGCGGAGTTGGAAAAAAAAAAAAAAAAAAAAACCCTCCTGGGCTCCTGCTCTCTTTCGAAGTGTTTGTGTCCCCCCATGTTAATAACCAAACGATTGGTATGGATGTAATTATCAATAATTATACGAATTATTGCTGATTGCGGGGCTCGTAGCTACTTTAATTAGTTTACCAGATTCTAATTAAGTTAAATGAAACATTAATAGGGAAAATATTCTTTAGAAAAACACCCAGCATTTTGAGTCTGTTTCTCGCCACAACGTTGCCACCTTGTGACGGGTTTGGGGCACTACAGCTGACGCCCGAAGTCCCAGACTCGCGTATCTTGGTTTCACGGAGTGGACGGGCTTGTGGGTTGAGAGGAAGGACTCACAAGGTTCTCCGGGTGTTCTTTCGCGCTGTGGGGTTCGGCACCCATAGCCCCCAAGGGTGTCTCCATGAGATCTGGCTCGAGTCCAAGGTGCGAGTTTAGGAGCCAGTTAAATGAGTCCCTTCCACCCCACCACGTTCCCTCTAGAACGGGAGTCCTCTTGGGATAGCGATGTGACAGCCCGTCCCTATCCCCACCTGGCTGGCAAATCGAAGGTGAGAGACCGAGCGAGCGGGGGATGCACTTGAGGACAATATCACCTTGCTCTATTGTCTACTCTTCTGTGAGAAACCAGGATGTGGCTTCCAACCTCCTTTTGCTCTGGCAATGTGGGTGACCTGTCTCCCAAAGCACTTAAAGGAGCCCCCAACTCAGAGCACACAGGAACCCCTGTGTTCTGATGACACTTGGTTCTGGAGACCAGCTTGGATGTGTGGGTCTGATTCCGAAGAGACTGTGTCTTAATAACTGGGGTCACACTTTGCCTTTTCCTGTGATCTCTTGCCATGGCGCCCTGTGCTCCACTGGTACACAGCTGTCCACGTGAAAAGGTTCCAGCGTGGCCAGTTCATGTGGGTGCTGGAAATGCCTGCGGGAAGAAATCCCTAAGTGCTTCTGGACAACTGCCACAGAGAAGCAATTAAGCTCATTTGCCTAAGGTTAATTAAGCACAAGCTTACTGCGCAGGAAGGAGATCTTTCATCAGTAGGATTAGTTTGGGGGGCAGGTGTCAAGTAAGTTATTGTCAACCTGCGATAGGAAAACTTTCTTCCTCTTCCAGCCCTGTCCCAAAGAGAGGGCTGCCTCCCCCTCCTGTCCATGTTGCAAGGAGGACTGTAAAGTGTAGCCTTGATGCTTCACAGAGACAGGACTCCTGCCTTGAATGCAGCAAACACACACACACACACACA